TTGAAACGACGGACAATGTCGTAGAGGGACGCGGCCACCCAGAAGTATTGCTGCTTCAGGCGGAGCTCCTTTCCACGCTCCAGGTTGTCGTTGGGGTAGAGGACGGCGCTGATCGTCTCGGCACGCTGCTGGTCGGCGACCGAGTTTTCGTAGTCACCGCTGTTGAATTTTTGGAAGTCAAACTCGCCGCTGGCAGCCTTGCTGGACCACAGACGTAGATTGTTCGTGGACGGGGTGGCGTAGCCCGGGATGGGCACGTCGTAGGCGACGGCCGTGACCGTCTCGCCGCCCTCCCAGCTGGCAACCGTCTTGCCGTTGGCGTCTGTAGTCTTTAAAACGTGGCCGTAGAATTGGATCTTGGAGGGTCAGTATGCGTCTTTGAGCGTGTGACTGGCTTGACTCACGTCGACCGTCACGTCCTGGCGAGGGAACTCCCAGGGGTTAAAGTCAAGCCAGTAGTCGGGCACCTCGACTTGGTAGCCGTCGATAATCTCCTGCTTGAAGATACCGTACCTGTACCTCAGGCCGTAGCCCCAGGCGGGAAAGTTGAGGGAAGCAAGACTGTCGAGGAAGCAGGCGGCCAATCGACCGAGGCCACCGTTTCCGAGGGCAGCGTCGTGCTCCTGCTCAATGACATCCTCGATGCGGAAGCCGAGGTCGTCAAGACCAGCTATGCGCTGTTAGCCCCTTTTCTGCCTGCACATCGATATGCAGCACTCACCCTTGGCAACATCCTTCAGTCCGACGTTGAGCATGGCATTGTCGAGGGCACGGCCCATGAGAAACTCCAGAGAGAGGTAGTAGACACGCTTTCCGTCGACGAGGGTCTGGCGCTGCTGGGTCTTGTTCCACTCCTTGACCAGACGGTCGCGGAAGGCCAGACTGGCGGCAGAGTACGCAGCCGTCTCGTCGCAGTTGAACATGCTACGGGCGAGAGTGGTCTCGACATGGCGGACGACATCCGTCTCAAACTCCTCCTTGGTCTTGAAGGGAGCAGCCTTGGCCTTGTTCCATGCTTCGCGCTGGGGCTCAGGGATGGAAGCTATTCAGAGACGGTTAGCCGAGTGAGCTGCAGGCGTGTGCTAGGGGGACGAAGCTACTGGGGCTGTGGATGTGGCGTGATGGAGCTCCCGCTGATCAGTGCGGGGTATTTTGGGGCGGGCAGCCCGGGCTGAGAGCTGCCCCTCCAAGCCCCACGAGAGCTGCTAAAGCTCACCCGCAGGGCCGCGGGCACATGGCAACGCGTGCCATTGAATGGGGGGACAGGCGGGAAAACTCACCCTCGACGCTCTTGATCTCGCCAGCACCGAAGCCGGTAAAGGTTCGCTTGTGCTTGGGGCGGGAGATGCCAGCAGGACCGACGGAGCCCTGGATGTCGACGATGGGGGCACCCATGGACGGGCGACGCTCCCGCGTGGGCAAGCTCTTGGTGTCCGACATTTTGGTTGTACGTGTAACCGTAGAAGGCAAGGGATTGAGCAGTCACAGACTCGAATGGCTCGAATTCAGGCCACAATCACCTCGGAAACCTGCTGCCGTCGTGTTAGCTATGGCGAACTCTCGGGACGTGAGTCGAAACACACGACTCGGCTGGGAGCATGCAAAGCGAGGAGAGGACGAGGTCCAGACTCGACTGACAGCGGAGCGGACGGGACGTACGTCAGGATTCGCCCAGGATGTTAGTGGGGAGAAGAGCGGGGTGCTGCTGGCGGTGCCTGAAGCTCAGTCCACCACGGGGCTGCCGGGATTCGTAGTCAGCGAAACGCCAATGGAGCGCGTCTCTCGGCTGAAGATGAAGGTATCTTCGGCGTCGAATGGAAGTTCTAGCGATTATGATGGCGATTGGACTGCAGGTATCGTCGCAAGAGGTTCGTAACAGATGCAGCTAGCTCAGCGAGGAGAAGACGAAGCAGAGGCAGAAGCAAGGTGTGACGGGGGAAGACCTGAAGCACCGCAAGCTTTTGGACTCTGAGAAGAGGAGGGGAAGAGGGGGAGGGGTAGAAGGAGGAGACTTCCAGACCGGGAGAGAGGGGGAGGGAGGGAGCTTAAGAAAGAGACGGGAAGGTATCATTCATGAGCCATGGCTAGTGGGAGGCAGGTAGTCAGCCATGGGCCATGGGCCATGGCATGTTTGGCCAGCGGTCAGAAGGTACAAGACGAGACGCAGATGTGATGGGAAGCTACAAAGCGCCTTTCTCGAGATGGAAAGGCATGGCAGCATGGCATCCAATTTGCCAGGCAGGTACAGCCAAAGGCACGCAGACCTGCTCTCGCACAAACCAAGGCAAGGTAGCCGTCATGTTGCACATCAAACACAGGCCCCAAGTTGCGGTCCTGGCCTGGCATGGACGGCCTGGGCATGGATTGACTGATCTGATCTGACAACCCGCACACCCATCAACGACGCGATGGATCTGACCCCGTTTCTGTCTCCATCAAGGTCTTGTCTGGCAATCTGGCCCGGTCTGGCCTGCAACAACACCGAGAAAAACACAAAACGCCTGATATGACCTCACCACAGGGAATTGAGGGGAGCAGGACGGACAAGCATCTCCCTCTTGCTGGTGAAACCGCGCCGAGCAGATGCAGCAGCAGTGAACACTTGCTCGCTGCATAGCAACAGAATGCGGGGGAAGCAACAGCAGCACCAACAGCAGCAGCAGAGACACGGCAGCAGCTATTAGCAGCGACGCCGACCTGGAGCTAAGGCAGTGTAGCGCGACAGGGATGCCGGGTCGCAGCACAGAGAAAGACACACCGCGACTGCCAGTCCGGTCAAGACAAGAGGTCGTGAGGTGCTTCCACGCACAATGGCCTTTCCTCATGCAGTAGCGCAAGAATGCGGCACCTAGGTACCCAAGCTACCCAGTGCTGCATCTTGAGGCGCACTAGGAATGGGCCTTTGGCCAGTTTGCCAGGATAGCTCCCACCTCCCACCTCGCCCAGCTGTGTCTCCCATCGCCATCACCCCCGGCGAACCGACCGAGAACAAGGGCAAGAACAGGAACAAGGCGAAGCTGCTTCGCGGCGAACAGCTTGGCCGTGTCGGGACGACCTGGAAAGGCAATCCGGTGAATGTCTACCTCCCTGCGGCGAAAGTACCGGGGGACGCGCAGCTCAACCTCGCGCGGCTCGTATGTGTAAGTCGAGTCGTCAACGCGCATATCTCCGGCGAACTACCTCAACACCCTTACCCAACCGAAATCGTCCTGGGAACCAACCAAAGCCTCAATTCCAACAACTCTCGTCTTCGCCTCCGTTGCCGTGCTGCTTGCCCGCCATACCTGCCGCCTCCCGGCAACGACCCATTGGCGAAGAATTCCAGCACCCGTCCCCGTACCGTACCGTACCCCGGCGAGGGCCCAGGTTCATTAGTAGGTGCCCAAATCACCAACCAAATTGCCAGACCTTGAGTTCCACAGCTTGACACGGCGCCAACGGCCTGGGGTAAAAAAAGACACTGAACACACACTCCACGCCCGGTGGAGCATGGAACACTGGAGAACGCAAGACTGACAGTTGGCGTCCCCGACTTTCCCGGTTCTCTGTCAAGTCTCGTCTCCCCAGCTCTGTCACGATAGTGGCCACTTCCACAGGAATACGATATTCGTACGGGCTCTCCGTCCTGTTGTTCCTCGTCGGTCTCCATTGCCCTGCATGCCCTCTCCATCGAGTGTCCATCGCCAGCTGGCGCGCCATTGGCTGGGACAGACGACGTCGACCGCCGGCTCCCCGCCTTTTCTGTCGTCCAGCAGAAACTCTGATAGAGCACGACATACGCCAGTCGGAATGCAATGCAATACGCTGCTGCTGCTGCTGCTGCTGCAATCCACCCAGACATCACCTGATGCTTCTCTCGCCCCCCCCCGTGCGTTGCCATTCCATTCCATAGGTACATCACAATGCCATTCATTCATCTCACCCTCTCGTCAATTGTCCAATTGTCCGACTCGGCCGGCCGATATCATATACATTGGTGATATCACGAATTGACGAATCCAAGGTCTGCATGCACCACGTCGCCTCATCCGTATCTCGACCCCTGTCGTCGCGCCTGAACAACCCATTCACGCGAACAAACAAAAGCGAAATGTGACTTGAGAGAAACAAATGCACCGCTTCCAGCAGAGCACCACAGCCTTGCGTGATTAAGACGATATAGTATACAAACAAAATGTGCCCAGCCTCAAGCCGACCATCTAGAGTAAAAGGCGCGTCTCCACATCTCCCCAACCTCCTGACAAGTGTACCGGGAAGGCCTTGTCGCCGCCTCGCATCTGCTGCGTGCTGACCGACCAAGCTTCATCTCAATCGTGTCCAACGCGAAGGGGGACGGACCCGGACGAACCCGCACCACGTTTTTGCAATGAGCAAATGCCACCAACAACGTGTCACTTGAGCCGCACAGCGTCGTACAGTTGAAAAATCCCAATATATGACTTCTTACTTCTCACATAAGGACGCCCCCATCATGTGTAGCTGTCGCTGCTCTGCACCACGGTTTCCGTAACTCATGGCTTTCCTTGCGAGATGATGGATGCAGTTGTTGCTTTCTTCCCAACCCTAGCCCACCGTCCCAATCGCGAACGGGTCCCTTCATCACTTCGTCTGCAAACTTTCACTTCCCGTACCCGTACTCCGAAGACGGCTTGCTTTTTTTTTCGTCCTTCTCTCGTGCTTTCTCCCCGGTTCTCTCCGCTCGGGGCGTGCGGCACATCGGTTGCGGATGCCCCTGACTGAAAAGCAATTTGTTCTGCAATGCAAATGAACGGAATTGCCGCTGTCGCATTAGGCCCCCAACCACCGACCGCTATCGCTTATCGTTCGACTGGTAGCCGTAGAAAGCGAGCGAAAAACCAGAGTGAACGCCATCCAAACGAAGTGCCGCCCACAACGCCCGGCAATGCTGTAAAACGCTGACCTGCAACAGAGGAGATGAATCTAAACATTAAGGAAATTTCGGCTGATCAAGCCCGGTGGTCGCTGTGGCGTCTCGTCTCTCATAGGATTCCCGAGTCTCGCAGGGCGTTGTTGAGAATCGTCTCCTTTACTGCCGCAAACACTAGTCGGATATTCGATGTGTCGGTTGCTTGAGTCAGGCTGCCCTCTGATTAGCCCCCCGCCCGCCGAAACGATGACGCTATAACTTACTGGGGATATAGATTCAGGTGTGCTCTGTTTACTTGATTAAAGCGCCACAGCAGATACTTGGCCGCCTTGTTCACGTCGTTGCCGCCCGAGTAGTCCGGGAAGTAGTTGCCCAGCGGTGACCGCCCAAGCTTCTGCTTGAAGATATCGACCTTGTTGAGGAACAGGATGATGCTGGTCCGCATAAACCATCTCGAGTTGACGACGGAGTCGAACAGGAGCAAGCTCTCCATCATTCGATTCTGCGACACGGTTAGCACGCGTCAGACATACGGCACCAATTTCGGCGTACCTGACTGCTCTCCTCGAGCAGGACCTGATCGTACTCGCTCAAGGCTACGCAAAAGATGATGGATGTGACGTTTTCAAAGCAGTGAATCCACTTCTTCCTTTCGCTTCGCTGGCCGCCCACGTCAAACATGCTGGCGATAGTTAGCTCTGTCGGGCGGTGCACGGGCGGTCCGCGACTCACTGTATGCTGAGCTGGCCCATTTGGAATCTCGTCTCGTAGATACCGGTCGTCTTTGTTCTCGCGCGGAGAACGTCCATCTCGTTTGGGAGATAGTCCGGTACGACGATGCGCATGACTTCTTGGAAGAAGCTGTTGTCTGTTAGCCGCGTCCTTCGACACTACGTCAGTTGGAGGGCGTCTCACTATTCTGCGGAATCCATCAGATAAAACTCGGTTTGCCTCTCCATGAGCTGTTCCCTTGCCGGATCGCTCCATATTGACTGGATGGCGATGCCGATTTGGGGGTCGATGTTCGCCTGAGGCCCGGACTCGGCGGTGTATTCCATCAAAAATGTGGCGTAGGCCTTGTTTTCCTCGATGACGGGTTCGATGTCGAACTGTCGCATTGCCTGGATGACGGCTTTTGCGCACTCGACCAAGTTCTTGAAGACGGTCGGTCTGTAGTTGTACAGCTCATCTTCGGAGTAGCCCTTCAAGTGAATGATTTTCATCTGTTTCACAATGGTCGACTTTCCACTTTCGCCGGATCCTTCGATACTCAGTCAGCATCCTGTCGTACACCACCCCCGATCAATCCCATCACGACCATCACCTACCGAGCAGGAGAATCTTGCATTCTCTTCGTAACCTCTTGGAGTCCTCTTCTAGTTGCCTGTCGATGGCCTGGCTCTTCTTCTTCTGTTCCACCTCCTCATTGTTCGAACTCATACAGGCACCCATCTTGGCGGCGAGGTGAGGCTTTAGGTAAGCCGGTGACCGAGATGATGACCGGATTGGTAGGCGTCGGTCCTCGAGCGCAGACTCGAAACGTCCGAGAGAAATCGTGTGTGGTTGTCCAAGGAACGCACTTTAGATGCCCATAGTAATATTAAATAGATGTGGCAGGTCGTATTGATTAAATCGCAGGTTTCGCAGCCGGGACCAGCACGGTGAGTGTGCCGTTGAATCGATGCTGTTCAATCGGCGGGCGGAGGACTCGGCGGTAACGAGCAGCAGGCGTCGGGTACTGGGGAGGCTGGGTGGGTGGAGAGACGGTCGGCGACGGCACGACAATGGTGCACTCTGATGGGGAGCGACGAGAATTCGATTTCGAAGGAAGCGACGATGGATGAGATGATGGGCGGGAGGCGTCCAGGTCGGGGTCAAGCGGAAGCTATCGAGGGAGATGTGGTGGTGCGAAGGAGCGGAAGACGGTGGTGGTAGTGGATGTGGTGGTGGTGAGTGCGACCGGGAAGGCGGGCAAGGACAGTGTCGGAGGAAGAAATGTGGGGATCACAAGGACCTCGACAGCGCTGGCGGGCGGGTATTTGGTAGAGCGCCCCAAGCTAAGGCATCCGTCCCCAGCGAGCGAGCGAGCGCAGCGTCTGGTGTGGGCTGGGCTGGGCGTGGGCGAGAGGACGTGGACGAGTGAGAAGCCGAGCCTTGCAGGGCAGGCCACGGGCAGTTCAAATCGGAGTCAGGGTCGTTCGGCAGCTGTCACAGCCCACGGTATCTGTGGTGGGTGGTTGGAGTTTTGGGGAGCAGGGAGCTGATGTGACAGAGATCAGGCTGGTGGTCTCTTTTGGTGTCCCGGTTCGGATCTCTGATGTGCTGATCTGCGTACGGGTACAAGCTGGCGAATTGGCGTGGGCGTGGGAGGTGATGATGCAGAGAGTGAGTGTGTGCGAGAGTGTGCGAGCGATTGGAAAAGGCAGCAGACAACGCGGCGTCACTTCACACAGCAGAACGATAGGACAGCCACCAGAGAGGAAAGAGACGGACGGACTGGCGCAGGTAATTGGTGGGTGGGTAGAGGGGAAGAGGAATTCTAACGAGGCGGGAAAGTGTAAAGTTGATGCTAAGGTAAGGTAGGGTAGCGGCAGAGAGTCAGACAGAGAGAGAGAGAGCGGTAACTTTTCCCCCCTTCTTTCACTTTGGCACCGCTACAAGTCGCTGCAGAGCCTGCACCTCAGCAATGCGTGCCGTCGGGGATAAGGTAGGTAGGCAAGGCAATTATTAGCACCCGAACTCTCTGATGCTTGCTTGTTGCTGGTGTCTGTTCTCTGCTGCTGCTGCTCCTCTCTCTTCCTGCGCCCCCAGGCAGAGCAGAGAGCAACACCCACCAGCACCTGGGAACGTGAGTGGTTGGCAGCAGCCCGCAGACGGGAGGACAGGGCCGGGGCCAGGGCGCGACGGGTCCAATGAGGTCGGGTGGGTGTGCGTTTGGTTTGTGGTGGTGCGCGCGAGGTGCTGGTGAGGTGTGCCGTGCAGCGTGGGTGGTGGTGTGTGGATCGGATATGAATGGGTCCAGCAGCGCCCTCCGTCCACGTCCGTCGGGTCCTGGGTCCGCAAAGTCTGATACCTGACGGACCCGGCTTGTACATTGGATACCTTGCAGGTTAGGTACGGATGGCCATGTAGGTATCACGCAGCAAGGTAGCTAGGTAGTCTGTCTTCAGCAGCTTGGCCTGGCGGAGGAGGAAGAGAGGAACGCAAAATGTCCGGGAGGACAACTGATGATGGGCGACACGATTGGAACATTGGCAGGGCAGAGAGAGAGAGAGAGATGCTTGGGACCTGCCCGTCTGGCACATGGGCAGCACGCCGGGCAGACAAACTAGACAGGGCATCTACAGGCGGGGAGACGAGGCGTCAGCGGCCTGTTGCTATTGCTGCAGCTTTGCCAGGTTGCAAGACGAGGTTGCCCGATTCCTGGACGGGTGGTGGGTGGTGGGTGGTGGGAGATGGGTGCCTGGCCTCAGAACGAACAGTGAAGCATGGGGGCCATGAGCATCGCATCCGCATCATCAACGTCGTCTTACATCTCACAATCAGAGCACCTCAAGGTCCAGACATGCTCGGGAGTACGTACCCGCCCTGCTTGGAACGCCTCGCACAAGCTGCCTCGAGCACTTGGACTAAGGTACCTAGCTTGACTAAACTGAATGCCGCTATACAAATTACAATGGCAGGCAGAGAGAGAGAGAGAGAGAGCTCTGTCTCTCTCATGGCTTGACTGGGTAAGGTAGGTACTTTTCCACAGCACACCTCAGGATCGCCTCCACTTGTTGTTTTAGTGTGTTGTCCCTCCACCGCATGCATGGCATTTGAGTATCAGAACCTGCAGTACGTACCGCCTCTTATTGGACAGGCAATGAGACCCCCAAAGTCCACGAGCGAGTGTCGTCTCCGGGCCCCATGTTCGTTCATGTTCATGTTCTTCGCGTGTCCACCCTGGGTCGGGACTTTTCTGGGCCAGTCGTGGTCCCTTCTATTTCCATCCATCCATCCATCCCTCTCTCTGCCCGCCCGCCCTGGAGACATCCGACTGATGCTCACTCATCCCACATGGTCCTATGATATCAATTCCTGCCTCACATCGCAGCCCCAACAGCTGTCCCGTCACCTTACCTGAGGCACGTAGCGGCGAGGCAACGGGGCGACTCTAAAATGCAACACGCTTGGAGCTCATCTTGCAAGGGCAAACTTTGATGCTGACGGCTCCTCCTCGTCTTTTCTCTGCGCATGCACCGCTGGGTATCTACCTGACGGATACTACTCGTGCTCTCCCAGTCTGCTATTGCACAGGGCAGCATCCTATGGCAGAAGCTCTGCCGGGGCCACCACCACAAGGTTCCGACGTTGGAGAGGGCTCCCTCGTCTTGGCTTCTATTCATATCGACTCAACATTAACGAATCTAATTCCCTTTTTTTTTTCTTTTTTTTTCCCCTGCGGCTGTTGCTTTTTTTCTTCTTCTTCGTGCCTAGCTAGCTAGCCCCCCTCCGCAGCATCCAATCTGCGCTGCATCATCTCGATTCTGTAAAGCACCACAACCACGCAAACGCAGTTGGCAAAGCACGACACCGTCCGTCCCGTCCGCCCAATCCTAGAACGTCGTCGGAATTGACCAGTCTCCTACCCCGTTCCAGTTCTTCTGAAGCCCCAGACCCAGACCCTTTTTTGCCGCCGTCTTGTCACTTTCTCCAACATGATCATCGTCATTTCCAAGCCCCCCTGTCGACCATCTTTGATGTTTGGACCCTTCAATGTCTGTTCTCGGGCCCCGGCAAATTCCAGCACTCACATGAGCCACGCGAGGTCGACCGCGCCCAGCACCCGCACCGCCGCATTCGGCAGCCTCAGACGTCCCCGATGAGCGAGCGCAGTCTCTTTTCGCGAGCTGGCTCGCCCTCCTCCTCCCCCTCCAGCCCAAGGCAATGTAACATCTGTTTCAGTCGTCAAGCGCCGAGTAATGACTCTCTCACCCCCAACTGCCGCCCCCCCAAACTGGGCCCCCAAACCTCCAGTCTCCCGTCCAGACTCCAGACTCCCAAACTCCAGATCAACGACGGACCCTGGACCACTGCCAAGTTCAGACTTGGACTTAGACTTTTGACCGCCGCAGGCCAGACTGTGGCCACGATGCACTTATCCGTATCTACCTGACCTGCGGATGGTTCACGTACAACTACAGGGCACATTCCAGAACCACAGACGCAGAAGAGTCAACAAGTCTAGAGTCTCGCATGGGACGAAAGTGACGGCAAGCAACAACGGCAACACCAGAAAACCAAAAACTCCACCCACCACGCCTTTTCGTCGTCGCAGTCAGTCTCCTGTTGCCGTCGATGGATCGTCGACCTGACGCAGACTAGGAGCTTTGATGAGCCGACCCAGGACCCGGGTGACACTTCACTCAGCCCGGCGCTACAGTTTGAACAGAATAGAACAAGACGGATGGCTTCTACCCGCCGCCTCGTTACATGTCCGTGGCTTGCAACCGGTCTTGCGTCCGTTCCTATCGTCTGCAGAGATCTGCTCATCTGGAGTGCCCTTGCCCGTTTCGGTCTGGGCGTCGTCCTGTTGCATCGGTCAACCACCCGCAGCATTGCACCGGGAGCACAGCTCGTCTACCTCAGCAACGCACCCAGACGACGCAAGAGATGAGGTAATTCTTCAAGGCTGCGGTTACAATTTCAGCTTCACACCGCCAAACTCTGTCTCTCCGGGATACCGGCCGCGTTCTTCTCTGCGGCATTCCAGCGTCCGCCAAGCCCATGATAGTATTCCGCACCACTGAGCGACCTTGCCGGCGGCTGCTGTTGCTGCTGCAGCTGATGAACGGCCGTACGAATACCCTCGCGTCGCGTTGCGAGCTATCGCCCACGGCAGCATTGGCGGGGTATCCCATGGACGAGGTCGCGAGGCCAGAGGATGTAGACCATCACGAAAACCTTATACTCGCTTTGGGCACTCTATTTACCACTTGGCTCTAGCCCGGTCGCAGCTTCATCCTAGTTCCGTCCTTATTCGCCTCGATTTCAGATTGTCCGTCGCGCCCGAATTTTATCAATCCCCTTTCGGTCTCGCTATTCTCCAGGTGGACAGGGGGAACGGCCAAATGGCTGCGTCCGTAACGCCACGCTCTCACCTACATCTCTTCGGCCGGCAGTCAAGACAACCTTCGTCCACTCGTCGAGATCTGGATCTAGTTCAGACGTTGTGTCGGCTTCATCAGAGATGGGTCAGACTCAACGGCCGACTCCGCACGGGTTGGGTCCTTTGACAGCAATCCTGGACTTCAGGGCGAACTCCTTTGCATGATTGTCCGTCTTGTTGCTTTCGTGCGAAGGACGAAGCAAGGGCTCGGCCGCACGGTTTGACGACTGGACACCCTTGTCTATGTTCACGTTTTCGTCAGATAACTGGCACTGATCAGGGCTCTCGTCTGTGCCCCTGG